TAAGGGGCTGGAGTAGAATCTATTATGCTTCCAAGAAAGCAGGAGTAGCAATCATGATCTCAGACAAAGCAAAAGCAATAACAGATCTAATTAAAAGAGATAAAGAAGAAACTATATTTTGCTGAAAGGTACCATAGACAATGAAGTCATATCAATCCTAAACACCAAATTTTTGAAGAAGTTGAATGGGGTAGAGGAGGAAATAGATAATGAAGCTATAATAGTGGGGAACCTCAACTTTCCCCTCTCAGAACTAGATAAATCCAACCAAAAAATAAACAAGAAAGATGTTAAGGAGGTGAATAAAATTCTGGAAAAGTTAGATATATGATAGCTCTCTGGAGAAAACTGAATGGGGATAGAAAGGAATATACCTTTTCCTCAGCAGTACATAGCACCTACACAAAAACTGACCATGTATTAGGACATAAAAACCTCACAATCAAATGAAGAATAGTAGAAATAGTAAACACATCCTTTTCAGATCTTAACGCAATGAAAATTACATTCAATAATGGACAATGGAAAGAGATTAAAAATTAATTGGAAATTAAATAATCTAATCATAAAAAAACCAAGTGGCTCAAAGAACAAGTCATAGAAACAATCAATAATTTCATTCAAGAAAATGACAACAATGAAACAACATATCAAAATTTATGGGATATTGCCAAAGTGGAATTTGGGGAAACTTTTATATTTTTAAGTGCTTACATCAATAAAATAGAGAAAAAGCAGATAAATGAATCAGGGCATGCAACTAAAAAAAAAAAACTAGAAAAAGAACAAATTAAAAATCCTCACTCAAACACCAAACTTGAAATCTTGAAAATCAAAGGAGAGATTAATAAAATTGAAAGTAAGAAAATCATTGAACTAATAAATAAGACTAGGAGCTTGTTTTATGAAAAACCCAATAAAATAGATAAAATATTGGCTAGTTTGATTAAAAAAGGAAAGAAGGAAACCAGATTACTAGCATCAAAAATGAAAGGGGTGAATCTACCACCAATGAAGAAGAAATTAAGACAATTGATAAAAGTTATTTTGCCCAATATCTACCAATAAATTTGACAATCTAAATGAAATGGAACAGAAGAAGAAATAAAATACTTAAGTAACCCAGTCTTAGAAAAAGAAATTTAACAAGTTATCAATGAACTTCCTAAGAAAAAATCCCCAGGACCAGATGGATTCACAAGTAAATTCTACCAAACATTTAAAAGACAATCTCAATACTATATAAACTATTTGGAAAACTTGGTGAAGAAAGAGTCCTACCAAATTCCTTTTATGACACAAATATAATGCTGATACCCAAACCGGGAAGAGCAGAGGAAGAAAATTATAGACCAATTTCCTTAAAGAATATTGATGCAAAAATCTTAAATAAAATACTAGCAAAGACATTACAGCAATATATCACAAGGATCATATACTGTGACCAGGTGGGATTTATACTAGGAATGCAGGGCTGGCTCAATATTAGGAAAACTATCAGCATCATTGACATATCAATAACAAAACCAACAGAAATCATGATTATCTCAACAGATGCAAGAAAAAGCCTTTGACAAAATGCAACCCCATTCTTATTACAAACACTAGAGAGCATAGAAATAAATGGTAAGTAGTATTTGTCTAAAACCATCAGCAAGCATTATCTGTAATAGGGATAAGCTGGAAGTTTTCCCAATACAATTAAGGGTGAAGCAAGGATTCCCATTATCACCTCTATTATTTAATACTATACTAGAAATGTTAGCTATAGCAATAAGAGAAGAAAAAGAAATTAAAAGAATTAGAATAGGCAACAAAGAAATAAAGCTATCACTCTTTGCAGATGATATGTTGGTATACTTAGAAAATCCTAGAGCATGGGTGGGGAACTTTCAGCCTTGAGGCATAGGTTCACCACCCCTGTCATAGAAAATCAACTGAAAAACTACTTGAAATTATTAACTTTAGCAAAGTTGCAGGATACAAAATGAGCCTACATAAATCATCAGAATTTCTATATATTACCAACAAAGTTTAGCAGCAAGAGATAGAAAGAGAAATTCCATTTAAAATAACTTGGACAATATAAAATACTTGGGAGTCTATGTGCCAAGACAAACCCATGAACTATATGAACACAACTATAAAACACTTTTTACACAAATAAAGTCAGATCTAAACAAGAGGAAAAATACTAATTGCTGATGGGTAGGCTGAATCAATATAATAAAAATGACAACTCTATCTAAATTAACCTACCCATTCAGTGCCATACCAATCAAACTATCAAAAAAGTATTTTATAGAGCTAGAAAAAAATAATAACAAAATTTATCTAGAAGAACATTGTTCCCATGATGCTATCTATCCACCTCATCTTCTGCCATTCCCTTTTCCTTTTGCCTTCAATCTTTCTCAACATCAGGTCCTTTCCAATGAGTCCCATTTTCTTATATGGCCAAAATATATAAGCTTCAGTTTCAGTATCTGACTTTTCAGTGAATAACCTGAATTAATTTCTTTAAATATTGACTGATTTGATTTCCTTGCTCTCCAAATGACTCTCTCAAAAGTCTTCTCCAGCACCATAATTTGAAAGCATTGATTCTGTGGCTCTCAGCTTTCCTTATAGTCCATCTCTCATAGTCATACATTTCTACTGGAAAAACCATAGCTTTGACTATATCAACCTTTGTCAGCAAGGTGATGCCTCTACTTTTTTTTTAGTATGCTGTCCATATTTGTCATAGCTTTCCTTCCAAGGAAGAAGTGACAAAATTTTAATTTCATGGCTACAGTTACTGCTGTGATTTTCGAGCCCAAGAAAATAAAATCTGACATTACTTCCATTTCTTCTTCTTCTACTTGCCAGGAAGTGATGGGGCTATTCACCAAGATCTTAGTTTTTTTTATGTTAAGCTTCAAGTCAGCTTTTACACTCTACTCTTTCACCCTCATCAAGAGGCTTCTTAATTCCTTCTTACTTTCTGCCATCAGAATGGTATTGATTGTATATCTGAGATAGTTGCTATTGCCCCTGGCAACCTTAATTCCAGCTTTTGATTTGTCCAGCCTAACATTTCTCAGGATGTTTTCTTCATATAAGTTAAATAAGGTGACAATATATAGACTTGTCATACTCTTTTTCCAATCTTAAACCAATCAGTTGTTCCATGTTGAGTTCTAACTGTTGCTTCTTGGCCCATATACAGGTTCCTCAGGAGACAAGTAAGATGAATTGGTGCTCCTATCTCTTTGAGAACTTGCCACATTTTTGTAATCCACACATTATTTTTCTAGTTCTATAAAATATTCTTTCATTATTTTGGTATAGCTCTGAGAAGCAAGTAAATTTGGGTGATACTGTCATTTTTACCTACTGGTACAACTTATGATCAATTAAAATTTTCCCAATTATTTAGGTCTGTCTGTATTTCTGCAAAGATTGTTTTATAGTTATATTCATATAGGCCCTCAATGAATCTTGCAAGACTGAGTCCCAAGTATTTTATAGTTTCTGTAGTTATTTTAAATGGAATTTTTTCTTCCTAGCTCTTCTTGCTGGGTTATTTTGGTTATATAGAAATGTTAATGACTCAAGTGGCTTTATCTTATATCCTGCAACTTTGCTGAAGTTATTTCAATTAATTTTTAGTTGGCTCTCTAGGCTTCTTTGAGTAAACCTTCATATCATCTTACTACTATACCTAGCTTTGTTAGCATTGTGGTAAATAGTAGTGGCACCCTGAGCATCTTTGTTTTACCCCTAATCTTTTTGGGAAGACTTTTAACTTTTTCAACCCCCTGAGACATGTACTCTGAGACTTGGTGACTACCTCATGAACATACTGTCAGAGTATAGGCAGCAGCAAGACTGATACTTCCAGAGCCTATTTTTGGATCCCCCTCAGTACTGTCCCTTCATAGAATCTCAAAAGTCTGGAGTTGTAAAGGACCTCAGCGACCATGGACTCCAACTATACCCCAAAGGAATGACCAATATAACTAAACCAACTAGTGATTGTCTAGCATCTGTTTGAAGACCCCCAGGGTAGGGGAACTCTATCTTTTGAGTCAGTTCATATCACTACTCAACAGCCCTGCTAGAAAATTTTCTTGGCATCAAATCTAAATTACTTTCCCTACAACTTCTGCCCATCATTCCTGATTTTGCCCACTGAGGTCCAACAGAACAAGTCTGATATCTCCTGTGTATAACAGTCCTTTAAATACCAGGATACAGCTATCATGCTCTCCCTTGAGTTGTATCTTCTCCAGACTAAGTATTCTGTCTTCCTCCAACTCATCCTATAGCATATGGCCTCAAGGTCACCATCCTCTGGATAATCTCCTGCTTTTCAATGTCCTTCCTAAGCCTTGATGTTCAGAACTGAATATTATGCTTTATATGGTGATTTTCTAAGATAGTGTGGAACTACTACTTTCTTATTCCTAGAGGAGATGTTGCCCTTACTACAGTCCAAGATGAAATTTGCTTTTTTTGAGCTTCATATCTGGCTATTTTGGTAACTGCTATCACAATGCTGGCATGTTGAACACAAAACTCTCAGATCTTTTTTCATATAGTCTTGTTTGATAATTCCTCCTCCAACTTATAATCAGGAAATTGATTTTTTAAACCCACACGTAAGACTTTACATTTATCTCTATTGGATATCGTTGTCTTAAGTTTAAGCCCGATGCTCTGGCCTTGCAAAGATCATCTTGGATCTTATCACTTGGCAACAGTATCACCCCTCCCATATTTTTATCATCTGAAAGTTTCTTGAGCATATCATTTATCCCATTATCCGAACCAATGATGAAAATGTTAAAAAGTCCAGTGTTACCCCACTGTAGACCTTCTTCCTGGTTTACAGAGAAAAGTTACTCTTTAAGTCCAGTTTAGCAAAAGGATACTGGTTTGGCCCCTACTTCTTTTATCCTTTGAAAAACTAACCAAGCTATAAGTTACTACCTTCAGCCTAGGCAACAACCCACCGTGATATGACACCACACACAGTGGATTGAGATCCCTGGCTGGAAGCACTTGATGCTTTTTGTGCAAAGGTCACAGTTGACAGAGGTATTCCCTTCCACCCACACGTGGTGCATTACCTGCAGAAGGAAAAGGAACAATACTAGGTGGAGTCAAATGAACTACAGCTAAGAACAAAACCCCAGGAAAGAAGAGCCAGGGGTTGGCTTGTTTCATAGTAACTGAACTATTATAGAGTCTCAGGGCTGGAAGGGATTTTTGAGGCCAGTTAGTCCAACATCTCCCTTCCATTCTACTAAGGGCTGGATACGGAGCTAATAGTCCTTCTAGCAAAGCTTGGCCTATTTGTCACCATACTCTAACTCCAAGTCCTTTCCCTTGTCCTTCTCAAGACAGTACTGTCTTGGAAAACTCTGCCCTCCACTCTTGCTCTTACAATGAATCCTTTCTTCTAGGACTTGGAATAAATATAATGTCCAGGGTGTTTAGTCACTTACAATGCAGCCTCCCTTGAAAGGGGGCCAGGACTGTTGAATTTGAATGGAATTGGACATATAATTTCATTGATGTAGGGAGCTCCCAGAGAGGAAACAATGGACTGGATACCTGCTGAAGTCCCTTCCAACTCTCCAATTCTATAATTTTCTGATAAAGGAGGGTTGGGAAACTAAGTGGAGACACTCTGAGGTATACGGAATGGAAAACTAGAAGGAGTCCAGTGCCAAGGATTCACCTAGATTTCAGTCAGTAGAGACACAAGGACCCAACAGTAGTCTCAGTTGCTGCATTACCAGTCTCTACTGTGATGGGCAAACTCCCAGCTGCTACTTTAATGCAATGTATAGTCTCAGAGAGCTGCCTGGGGGGCATTGAGAGGTGCTCAGGGTCACACAGTAAGTATGTCTCAGAGGAGGACAGAAATTTAGATCTTCCTGACTCTGGTTGGCTGTCTATTCACTTTACCACCTGGCTTCTCATAGATACCAGATATTTATCAAAATCAATACAAAGTGATTGAGTAGTAGCAGGGGTGGGTATACTAATGATGTAGGAATCAGGAAAGGCTTCCTGAAGGATGGAGCATTTGAACTGAGCCTGCTAGGGAGTTGGGACTTCCAAGAGGATTGAGCATTGCTGAAGATGAAGACTTAACTCCCTTCTTGAGGAAGCCAGAGGATGCTCTTCTCTGGGGACCATAGCATCAGAGATCTAGACCTAAAAGCAAAGCTAAGGTTAGGGAAATATCTATGAAGGCAAAAGAGCTACCTTCCTGGGATAACCATTTTTTTTTTTTTATAAAGTAATAGCTAGTATCTACCTCCAGATAGAGAGCTGATGACTCAGAGGGCAGACTGAAGCATTTTTGTTTTTCAGACATGGCTAATATGAGAATTTGTTTTGCTTGACTCTACATATTTGTACAAAGTTTTATTTTCCTTGTTTTCTCAATGGGTGAGAAAGAGGCAGGTGAGAGGGAGAGAATCTGGAAATAAAAATAAAGTTGAATAAAAAATAGCTATCATTTATCTAGTGTTTTAAGGCATGCAAAGTGCTTTCCCTGTGTGAACTCATTTGATCTTCATAATGACACTGGGAGGTACTATTATTATCCCTATTTTTAGATGGGAGAACCAAGGCAGACAGAGGTTAAGTTACTTTCCCATGGTCACACAGCTAGCAAGGGCATGAGGTAGGATGCGAACTCAGGTCTCCCTGACTCCAAGCCTACCATTTTATGGACTGTGCCACCTCACTGCCTCTGGCTTAAAAGGAGAGGTAGAGGAGAGACTGAATGACAATTAGCTTTCTGATCTGGAATTCTGTGAAGATGATTCCATTGCCTGGCACTTTGGATCATGGGATCAAAGACTGAGAGCTGCAAAAGGACCCTACACATGTGGAAGGCAAAGCAGCACCAGAGGCCAGCGGATTCTTCACTCACCTCAATCTGTCTCCTGGATTTCCTATACGTGCTGATGCATGGAGAGATATTTTGGGATGCACATTTTTGGTGGACTGTATATTTACAAACTGAAAAGAGAAGAGAGGGGTACTACTGTGAGTTACCTGTCCAACAGGGGCACAAGAGAGCCACCCACCCCACTGCCCTGTAGTGCCTAGTGCCTCCACAATCACAGGGTGGTCAGTAACCATACAAAGCCACGTGCGGGAAAATATGGGACACTATTTGTCTGATGACTAAAGAAGCTATTGATTTTTTGTGGAGTGAGGCAATTAGGGTTAAGTGACTTACCCAGGGTCACATAGCTAGTAAGTGTCAAGTGTCTGAGGCCGGATCAGAACTCAGGTCCTTCCGACTGCACAATTGGCCCTCCATCCACTGCGCCATCTAGCTGGCCCTGAAGCTATTGATCTTTGACAAACTAAGGTCACCTTTCCCAAAGCCCAGCCCTGTCCATGGTGCCCAATTAAGATATTGGGGGGTCAGGGGAAGATATAGGAAAAAAACATCTCCAGAGTGATGAGTGAACATCCCTGTGGTTCTGTCCCTGGCTCTTCTAACCACACAATCCAGAAATAGCAAAACCTGGAGTCGGGAACAGTGCAAAGAGCACTGTCTCCAGCTTCAGAGGAACTGGGTTCAAATCCCACCTCTGATACTTATGAGTTGTGTGACTGGTGAAGTCATTAATGCCCCTAGTCCTCGGCTGCTTTGTCTGTAAAGTGAGGTAACTGAGCTAGACGTGGCTTAAGGTCCCTTCCAGGTCTCAATCCATGACCTTATAATTCCTCTAGGTTTCCTCTTCCTCCCCTGTCCAATGAGTGGGCTGGACTAGATGGTCTCTGACATTGCTTCTAGCTCTGACATTAGGGTTCTAGATCCTAAGCCTCAGCTCTGATCCTGGGCAAGTCACTTTACCCATTGCCCCAGGCAACCCTCTGAGCCACTTGTTGGAGACGCTCTGGAAGACAGCACTTCTCTGAAAGTTCTTCATGGGAAGTCGCAAGCAGGCCTAATCCCCTCAACCTCCAACCGCCACCTCCCCAAAACCCAAACACTCCAGAAAAGGCCACGAGACCCCAAAGAAATTAGACTGAGTCTACATGAAATTAGGTTTCTGGAGAGGAAATTAATTTTTATGAAGGCCCCAGATAGGATCTGTGGCACTCATAGCTTCTTTCTGTATGCTGAGGCCGCTCACGGACGCTGGGGGCCACACTGACGAGACACTGGTGGAAATAAACCGGGATGGGGATGATTTATTAGATTAGACCTTTGAGGGTCTATCTACTGATCAGAAGGTTGGGGGTCTTTTAACTTCTAGGGAAAACGTAATTATAATCATAGAATCATAAATTTAGAACTGCAAGAAACCTTATAGGTCCCCTAATTTTTCAGGTGAAGAAACTGAGACCCAGAGAGATTGTCATAGTAGGTACCTAATAAAGCTTGTGGACAGATTAATTGCCCAAAGTCATACTGCCAGGGTTTGAGGCAGGGTTTGAACCCAGATCGTCCTGATTCTAAGCCCAACACTCCAACCACTGCTCCACGCTGCCTTATTTTTATGTATATTTTCCATAAAGGAGGCCATCCCTCCACCAGACGCTCCATCCGCTCTGTGACAGGAAGCTTCTGTACACTATTTGGTCAAAGCTGAGAGCTTGTGTGCTATATTCCAAAGGGCCTGAGGACATTCTGTGTAATCATGGGCACAAACTATCGCTGAGTCAGCAAGAGGAGAGTTTCCAGAGTAGGATAAATGGGCCTATTTTGTACTGGATGGAAGAGAGTTGTTTTTGTTCAGTTCTTTTTCAGTCATGTCTCACTCTCCATGACTCCATTTGGGTTTTCTTGGCAGAGATCCTGGAGCGGTTTGCCGCTTCTTTCTCCAACTCATTTTACAAATGAGGAAACTGAGGCAAACAAGGTTAAGTGACTTGCCCAGGATCACACAGCTACTAAGCATCTGAGGCCAGATTTGAACTTAGGAAGATGAGTCTTCCTGACTCCAGGCCCAGCACTGTGCACTATGGAGCCCCCTAGCTGCCGCAGGGGGAAGTGAGAAGACAAGGCAAAGACTGGAGGAAAAAACAAAGACAATGAAATTGGTGCCTGGAAGGGGAGATCCTTTCTCTTGTATCAGAAGGAAAGCATAAGGGATATATATATATTATATATATATATATATAATATACACACACACACACACATATATACACATATATGTATATATATTATATATACATGTATGTATATATACATATATGTATATATGTATGTATATATACATATATGTATATATGTATGTATGTGTGTATATGTATGTGTGTGTGTATATGTATATATATATATATACATATATATATATAAAATGAATAACTAATGTCTTGGAAGGGGGGGAGGAGTTTGGATCAGAGCATACCCTGTGGATTATCCTTGAGGATGGCTTTACTGACCGACCTTTCTTGGAGTCCTGTGTCACCATTTGAGAGGCTGGCATGGTGTATGGAATAGATAACCAGCTTCAGGGTCAAGAAGACCTGGGTTCAACTTCTGCCTTTGACATACGCTTGCCATATGACCCTGGACAAGTCTCAGTGACCCAGGTTGACTCAACACCATACAATGCAGAACAGGTGGCAATCTGAACTGATGGAGGAGTTTTCTTATTTGGGAGTTCCTTACATATATAAAATCACAACCAATATTAATTAAATGCCTACTACGTGCTGGGACAACCTAGGCTAAACACTATAGATACAAAGACAAAAGTGAAAATGTTCATGCCCTCAAGGGGCTTTTATTCTGACCTCATTTCATGGTACAATCTTTGCTCAGCATTGAATATTTAGAGTTGTCACTTATTTCAGGACTTTAACTGATGTTCCCTCCATTCTGGGTTCTGCAGCTTGGATTCCAGGTGACTATTAATAGTTTCTGAGGCCAGAATATTTATCACCCTAAGAACATTCTGGTGATGAGGTTCTGTGAACTTACCTAGACTGGTCCTCAGTTAATATAAATGCAGTCCATCACCAGGTGATAGTCTGGGGACACCTTGGTACCACCCTAAAGCACCAGAAGAGGCCTTCAGTGGAAGAGCTCCCACAGGAAGCTGGCGCTATGGTCGCTTGACAATTGACTTTCAAAATGGTGGATCCCGCATCAATGTGACCACAAGTAGAGTCTATCTAAGAGGCTACTAGGCATGTGCCCAGATGCCCTTTGGAATGTCCAAAGACCTGAATGGGGGAGACAGACAGGAGGAGGAGCCCGGACTCACATGAACAGCACAGGGCCTGTTTCCGCACTCCCACCAGAACGGTGTGGCAGAGATGGCAGAAGGCTGGCTTTTTGAAATTCTTTAGCCTCCAGGCATGCTGACCATCTTCATTCACATTCTACAGGTACAAATAAACAGAGACATTGGTGAAACTCCAGGAAAAGAAGTCCAAAAAAGAGAGAAGCAATTGTCCCCATCATCAGTCTCTTCCGTCCCTCTTTGCCCCCTCCCCTCCAATTTTTGGAATTGCAAGAATATGACAAAGATGTCATTCTCATGGAGATGATACGAGTCTTACCAACCTATCTTTTTCAGTGGAAAGAATGCTGGATTTGGAATCAGAGGTCCTCAATTACATCCTGGTTACTCCCAGCACCTAAAGCATCTGCTTACCAGCCTGGGCTGTTTACCCAGTAAACAGAAGCCAATTTGAGCTAAGGTCTATCGAGGGAATGACTCTTGTGTCCTTATTTTCTAATCAAGATTTGGGGCAACTTGATCTCGAGTAGAGAAGTCAAAGCCAGGGGAAATCTAATTGAACCAAGATTGCTAGAGGAAGCTGTTTCTCATGAGGCAACTTGAATTCCTTGAGTGACAGAGAGGGGTGTAATCAGCCACACCTGAAGGCCAACCCACCTACCAATCAGGGTTGACTTACACTTGCCCAGGAGGTCCAAATGATGTACTATCAGATTGATCAGAAGGAAAACACTCCAGGATTTAAAGTGCCCTGTGACCCTCAGATGGAATCTTTGGGAACCAAGAGAGACCAGTAACCTCAATTTATTGGTTATTGCTAACCTAACTAATAAATTGATTAAATCATGCTCAGAACTTTTTCGGTCAGAATTTCATTAGGCACAGAGGACTTGTGGAGAAACACAACTGGAATTGTGTATTCCATTTTGGAGTGCCACATTTTGGGAAAGGCATAGAAAAACTAGAGAATATATAATTGAGGGAGTCCTAAAGAAGCCCCTGGAGACCATCCCTCAAAAAAGGATTAGTTGAAGATACTGGAGATGTTCATTTTACAGAAGAAAAAGACAACTATCTAGTTCTTTCACTTCAGAGCCCTGTTGCAGAATCAACACATCTTAGAATTGGTGGTCAGTCAGAAAACATTTATTAAGCACCTACTATGTGCCAGGCATTGTACTAAACACTAAGAATACAAAAAGGGGCTCTAAATCACTACTGATTAGAGAAATACAAATCAAAACAACTCTGAGGTACCACATCAAACCTATCAGATTGGCTAATATGACAAAAAAAGGAAAATAATAAGTGTTGGAGGAGATGTGGGAAAATTGGAACACTAATGCATTGTTGGACTTGTGAACTGATCTAACCATTCTGGATAACAGTTTGGAACCATACCCAAAGGCCTATAGACTTGCATACCCTTTGACCCAGCAATGCCATTTCTAGGTCTATGTCTTAAAGAGATCATAAAAAAGGGAAAAGGACTCACATGTACAAAAATATTTATAGCAGCTCTTTTTGTGGTGTCCAGTCAATTGGGGAATGGCTGAACAAGTTGTGGTATATGAACGTAATGAAATACTATTGTGCTATAAGAAATCATGAGCAGGAGGATTTCAGAAAAACCTGGAAAGACTTGTATGGTCTGATGCTGAGTGAAGTGAACAGAACCAAGAGAACATTGTACATAGTAATAGCAACATTGTGTATTGATCAACTTTGATAGACTTAGCTCTTCTCAGCAATGCAAGGTTCTAAGACAATTCCAAAAGACTCATGATGGAAAATGCTAACCACACCCAGAGAAAGAACTATGGAGTCTGAATGCAGATTGATGCATACTATTTTCTCTCTTTTTTTCCTTTCTTGTGGTTTTCCCTTTTTGATCTGATTCTTCTTTCACAACATAACTACTGTGGAAATAGGTTTAATAGGATTTTATATATATAGCCTATATCAGATTGCATGCCACCTTGGGGAGGGAGGTGGAAAAAAATTTGAAACTCAAAATCTTATAAAAAGTGAATGTTGAAAACTATCTTTACATGTATTTGGAAAAAAATAAAATACTATTAAGTGGGAAAAAAGAAGAAAAAACTTGAGAGTGGCAAATGACAGCAACTTTAAAACATTATTGGTCACAAACTTGACTGGCTAAAGATTAGATTTAATCTGTTTGGCCCCTGAAGGCAGAACTAGGGGTAGATGAGTGGGAAAATGCAGAAGAGACAGATTTTGGTTTGATATAAATACTTTTTTAAAAAGCCAGATCTGTCCCAAAATGCTATAGGCCACCTCAAGAGGTTGGCCCTTCACTAGAGGACTTCCAGCAAAGACTGGATGGCCATTTGCTGACAGATTCATACTTGGGTTCCCTCCGCTAGATGGTGCATTTCTAAAGGGCAGGAACTGTCTTTTGCCCCTTTTTGTATTCTTAGTGTTTAGTACAGTGCCTGGCACATAGTAAGTGCTTAATAAATGTTTTCTGACTGACTACCAGTTCTAAGATGTGTTGATTCTGCAACAGGGCTCTGAAGCGAAAGAGCTAGTAGTACTTGGGTATTCTGAATTCAAATCCAGTGCAGTGTTCCAGATGACCCAGCATCTCTGGATAAAGTAGAATACAAAGGAAACGGATGGCTACCAGCAGAGAGAATGGAAGAATTTATCCATCATGAATTCCAAGAGCCAAGTGTAGGTGAACAGAATCCAACAGTTCTTACTGAAATCAAGGGAAATATCACCTGATAGTTACTCCCTGTGAGTTATTAGGCAAATAACCTGACATACCAGGGTCTCAGTTTCTACATCTGTAGAATGATAAGGTTGGACTAGATGACCCCTAAGGTGCCATAATTCTGTCATCTTTCCTTTATCTCTTTGGGTCTCAGTTTACTCATTTGTAAAAATGATGAGTTTTCACTAAAGTAAGTGTTCTGAAGCTTTTTATGTCATGGACCCCTTGGACAGTCTGGTGAAGCCTAGGGATCCCTTCTCAGATCATGTTTTTACATATATTATATAAAATATATAGAATTACTAGGGTAACCAATTATACTGAAAGGCAGTTATCAAGATATTTTAAAAAATCCCACTAACCCAGGTTAAATCCTGCCCAAGATGGTCGTGGAGGCCCATTCCAGCTCTGTTCTTATGAACTTAACCTCTCTGGGACTCAGTTTCCTCTTCTGTAAAATGAGAGGATTGGAGTAGATGTCTCAGAAGTCCCTTCCATCTCTAGATGGACGAGCCCATGAGGTCTGCCTGGAGGTAGCTATTCCCTTGAATCCAGCCTAAGAAGATTGCCTATGTCCTCTACACTCAAGCCAAACAAGACTGCCTGTCCTGTTCTAATAGGTTTTGTACTTTCTGTGTTTTTGTCTATATCTTTCACTATGCCTGGAATGCCCTCCCCAGAAACTCCATTTCTACCTATTAAAATTCTACCCTTCCTTCAAAACTTAGTTCAAATGCTAACTCCTCCATGGAGCCTTCTTTGATTACCTTTGCTCATCTTAGCACTGTTCTTTCCTTGGACCTGGCATAGCATTTTGTAACTATCTAATGCACTCATCGTATTCTATTCGTATTATAGTTATTTGTGTGTGTATTGTATCCCCTAAATCAGATTGTAAGCTCTGTGAAGGCAAGAACCAAGCCTTATGTAATGTTTTCCATTTGGTTCAATTCAATTCCTTTCCTTTCTTTCCTTTCAATTTGATTCAACATTTATCAGTCCTACTACAAACAAGGGCGCTAGGTGGTGCTATAGTGCACAGAGCTTTCCACCTGGAGTCAGGTCAACTCATCTTCCTGAATTCAAATCTGGCCTCAGGCACTTACTAGTCATGTGACCCTAGGCAAGTTACTTCACCCTGTTTGCCTCAGTTTCCTCATCTGTAAAATGAACTGGAGAAGGAAATGGCAAACCACTCTAGTATCTTTGCCAAGAAAACCCCAAATGAGGTCACAGAGAGTCAGACAAGACTGAAAAAATGACTTAATAACAATTAAAAACTACAAACAATCCTTGTCTTTAAAGAGCTTTCATTCTTCTGGGGTAATGTAAGATAGCCTCCTGCCTATGTCTGGCATATTATTTTGCATATTGTCATTTATTAGCAGTAATAATATTAATAAATATTCATTGAACTGAATGGCTTTGAAATCGTATGTAATAGGGGACATTTTTCTGTTCAGAAATCCACATTCCTCTTCATTATTATTCAAAAATCTCCCCCAAGACCATCAAGAAGATTAATTCAGGCACTGAACTTGAGATTTTCTTTACAAAAGTGGAAAAGAAGGCTGCTTTTCCAGGCATGTGCAATGAATGAAATGTGGTTTCACTGAAGGCTCCTGAGGGCTTGTTATTTGTTAGTAGGTTTAATCCACATGGAGATTAAGGGATCAACTCAAATTTCCCAAGCACATTCTCTGAATCCACCAACAGCCCTTGGCATCTCTTGGCCATATTTCTAATAGCCCAGGAGAACTTTGGTTAGTTGTTTCAATTTTATTTGACTCTTCATGGCCCCACTTGGGGTTTTCTTGGCAAACATATTGGAGTGGTTTGCCATTTTCTTCTCTAGCTCATTTTACAGATGAGGAAATCCTGAGGCAAACAGGATGAAATGACTTACCCGGGGTCACACAGGTAGTAAGTGTCTGAGGCCGGATTTGAACTGAGGAAGACTCTTCCTCACTGTAGGGTCTGGCACTCTATGCACTATGGCATCACCTAGCTGAACTTTGTAGTATTCTAGACAGACTTAGGAAGAACTTGGTTGTGTCTGTATTGAGTTTACTACAACTGGATTAGATAGAAGACAGAGACTGTCTCTGTTCTGTAGGAGCTCAAGCATGGCATGGTGGGAAGACCACTGGTTCTGGAGTTGGAGTACCTGGTTTCAAATACCTCCTCTATCATCTGTGTGACTTCATTTCCCTGAGCCTCAGTTTCCTCAACTGTAAAATGAAAGGTTGGTCTAAAATCCCTTTCAACTGTAGATCTATTCTTCTATATTAATTTTATAATTATTTTAGGATTATGTCATGACATAATCCTAAAATGGTTTACATCCTAATTTAATCCTAGTCATTTAACTTCTGTGTGCCTCAGTTTCCTCATCT